TTCCCGCCTTTCGCGCCATGCTGTTGATAGTGCGCGTCAAGACGCTCTTCAAACCGTCCAAGTGCGTGCCCCCGTCTCCGGTCCGAATGCCGTTCGCAAAGCCGATCAAGAGATCGTCATACTGGTCCTTGCTCCACCGGAGGGCGGCCTCCACGGCGACCCCGTTCTTCTCACCGGCCGCGTGGATGACTGCGACGTCAGGATGCAGCTCCTCTTTGCTGCTGCACATCAACTGCACGTATTCCCGGATTCCCCCCTCATGAAAGAACTCCTGTCTCCGGCCTTCTCCGCGCTCGTCTGTCATGACGATTCTGATCCCCGCATTCAAGTAAGCGAGCTCGTCCAGCCTGCCCGACACACGATCAAATTCAAACGTCGTGCTGGTCTTAAAGATCTCCGCGTCTGGCTTGAATCGCACGCTCGTTCCGCTCGCGGAGGAACCTGTCACCGCGTCTGGGTCCGGATTGATCTCCATTTCCCCTAGCGGCTTCCCCCTGGCGAAGCGCATGATATGCACCTTCCCGTCGCGCCGCACCGTGGCCGTCAAAGACTCACTCAGGGCGTTCACCACGGAGACCCCCACTCCGTGCAGGCCGCCTGAGACCTTGTACCCTGAGGCGTCGCCACCGAACTTCCCGCCCGCATGCAGGACTGTCAGCACCGTCTCCAGGGCGGAACGGCCCGTTTTGGAGTGCACCTCGCAGGGTATGCCGCGTCCGTCGTCCGAGACAGTGACGCTGCCATCCTCGCCGATGGTCACTTCCACGGCCGTGCAATGCCCAGCCAGCGCCTCGTCGATGGAGTTGTCGACAACCTCAAAGATTAGGTGGTGGAGACCCTTGACTCCTGTGGATCCGATGTACATGCCTGGCCGCTTCCGCACCGGTTCCAGGCCCTCAAGCACCGTGATCTTATCGGCCCCGTAAGACCCGCCCACAGGAGTCGATGGGGGGGAACTCATGCTTGGTAGGGGCGGTGGAGCGATGCTTGTGGCTTCCATGCCCACGGTGCGACGTCGTCGGTTCGCCGTTGGCTTGACGCTGAAAGCACGTCGCTGGCTGTCACTGCTCACGCGGGTACTGGCCAAGGCGGAGAGTCCTGAAAGCCTCGGATAGGAAGACGTTGGAAAACCAAACACTCTCACACCGGACCAGCCTCCGATTAGACGCAGCATGACGAGGGCCATACCTCCCAAGGGCCGACTGAGCATGTCTGTGGTGAAGCAGATAGAAGCGGCGACGACTGAAAGTCTTGAGGGCAGCCGACTAACCATCCATGGATTACTCAGTCCAATATCCTGCCCTCGCACCCTGTGTTTTACGTCCAAGAAGTTTGTGTCGCAGGAATTAAAGGTGAAAAATAAGCTTGACCATTCATTCGAAGCACGGTCAACTACGGCTACAAACCCCAAGTTACCCCTCGTTTGTGTCTCAATTGCGTATCTCGCCTTCCCCTTTCGCGCCGTCATGGTTTAGACGGGGAGCGCTTAGTGCAGGCCTGGAGCCACCACTCGTACGCGGTCGTGTCCCACGTGTTGGGACTGACATCCTTGCTACATGTACAGGGCATGGATAAAGGGCATTCCTGTCCTCGGGACGGCCCGGTCATGTTTTTCCTGCGCGCACGGGCCTGAACCTAGTAACTTTCTGACTGCTTGTCTTGAGGCTTCGAAGAAGCAGCAACTAGGAACAACCGGTGAATCAATCACCGGCACAGTTTGTAGGTGAACCCGGCACTGGTGATCAGTAGACGCTAACCATACTTTCACATGTATTGCATGCAACTGTATGGAAATGCCTGCACTCTGTTTCGTTGTCTCTGCTTTTCTTGGCCGGGCTGGACCACGCCGCTCGCCTAATTTCAAAATTATGATGTGTGGCTGGCACCCCTACACCATGACAAGGTACCTCAACTCGAGGAACGCCGCCCACGCTGATCCAGTCGACATCTTTCTCACACAGGTAGTACACATTTGTGCGTGACCTGTTCAGAGGAGGCGGTGGGAAGTGAGATCTTCACGACCAAACCAATATTTGCGGAAAGAAGCGGCAGCAGCAGTCCCCTGAAAACAGTCTCCTCGTCTTATCATGGTCCGTTTTCTGCACCTTATCCGCCCCGTGCTCTGCATTGTACCGGAAGTAGCAGCACCTGTCGACCGGAAGATTCCTTTCCGTGAGAAGGTGCTATGGACGGTGGTGACACTTTTCATCTTCTTGGTCTGTTGTCAAATTCCAATCTACGGGGTGCAGTCAGCGAAGTCGTCCGATCCCTTCTATTGGATGCGGGTCATTCTGGCTTCCAACAGGTAAGACAAAGGGATAAGACTCTTTCTCTGGTTTTAATTGTGGGCTCATGCTTCATTTGATCCGAGGTTGTCCCTGTCTGCCTCGAGTTCCCGGGAGAAAACTCGTGAGACCGAGTCGCTTGCTTTCCTGACCTCTTTCCCTTCGCCCTCGCAAATTTGCCCTGTCCCCGCAGGGGAACTCTTATGGAGTTGGGCATTTCGCCGATTGTCACGTCGGGTCTAGTTATGCAGCTCCTGGCAGGCTCCAGGATCATCGAGGTGAACCAGTCGCTCAAAGAAGACCGGGCTCTCTTCTCGGGGGCGCAGAAGCTCTTCGGCATCCTGATCACCATTGGCGAGGCCGTCGCCTACGTCTTTTCGGGCATGTACGGGGACTTGAATAGCTTGGGGTGGGGCAATGCCATTCTCATCATCGCGCAGCTTTTCATTGCCGGTATGATCGTCATCACGCTTGATGAACTCCTTCAGAAGGGCTACGGGTTGGGCTCTGGCATCTCCCTCTTCATCGCCACCAACATCTGCGAGAACATCATTTGGAAGGCTTTCTCGCCCACCACCATCAACACGGGTCGCGGCACGGAGTTCGAAGGCGCGATAATCGCCCTCTTCCACCTGCTCATCACCCGCAGCGACAAGATGCGGGCCCTGAAGGAGGCTTTTTACCGGCAGAACTTACCCAACGTCACGAACCTGCTCGCCACGGTCCTAGTCTTCATCATCGTCATCTACTTCCAGGGTTGGCGCGTGGACCTCCCGGTCAAGAGCCAGCGCTACCGAGGCCAGCAAGGGACGTACCCGATCAAGCTCTTCTACACATCAAACATGCCCATCATCCTCCAGACAGCGCTTGTCTCCAATCTCTACTTCCTTTCCCAGCTCTTGCACAAGCGCTTCTCGGGCAACATCCTCGTCCGCCTCCTGGGCCGCTGGCAAGAGGTGGAAGGCCAACAAGGACAGTCTGTGCCCGTGGGCGGCATCGCCTACTACATCTCCCCGCCGCACTCCATGACCGAGATCCTCAGCGACCCCTTCCACGCCGTCTTCTACCTAGCATTCATCCTCTCGTCCTGCGCGCTCTTCTCCAAGACCTGGATCGAGGTCTCAGGCTCCTCGGCCAAGGACGTGGCCAAGCAGCTCCGGGACTCCAAGATGGTCATGAAGGGACACCGAGACTCCGCCCTCGTCCACGAGCTCAACCGTTACATCCCCGTGGCTGCCGCCTTCGGAGGCATGTGCATCGGGGCGCTGACGGTCGTGGCGGACTTTCTGGGGGCCATCGGGTCAGGCACAGGCATCCTACTCGCGGTCACGATCATCTACCAGTACTACGAGATGTTCGTCTCTCAAACGGCGAACCCGGACGCAGGCTTTTAAGGGATAAATTAAGATGAAAGGAGAAGTGCTCTGCGACCGTAAGTTTCGGCGACATTTTAGGAGATTGCCCGGAAAGCGGACGGGGGAGGGACGGTGGAATAGGAAGGAAAGTAAAAGCAAAGGGGCGGAGGAGTTGAAGAGTCCCACGCTCATGACAGCGGGTTGGACATGAACTTTTGCCATCAGAGGGAGAGATAAGAAGCAGATGGTTGGACACATCAGAGGGAAGCATAGGAATCGCGGCTTGGAGAATTAAAAAGGTTTCAGCTCTAACTGCCATGCAGAGAAGAAAAGAGAGACATCTTGGAAGGTCACATTGCCTTGGCCCGCAACGTCTACCAACTTGTTTTTATTCCTCCCCTTTTTCTCGCGCTTGTACGGCCAAACCGCATTCAAGAGACTGAAGACATGGGTCATCGGTCTCCAAGCCAGCCTTTCTGGTATCATGAATGCAGCATCGGGGACGCCTCGCTTCCTCTCAAATCGTCCGTACGAACTAAACCGAGATGCGGATACTTCCTTCGCACGGCCCGACCCGACGTACATGTGACATACATTTACCTGCTTCTAAAAAGACAATCCATCAGTCACTCGTTCCCAGGCCAAAACAAACTTTCCCCCATGGCGGCTCCCTGTATGCATCCCGTCTCCAGACTTGAGAAGACAGGAGACCTGATCGTCTTCGCTTGCGTTAAGATAACCTCGCCACTTTCTGTTCTTTTCTCTGTCCTGCACAGTCGCAGTCGCCCCAGCGCCCCTGAGGCCCCGTATCGCGCATTTGTAAGATTTCACAACGTCGCCAGTTTTCTGTGTGGTTGAGCGCCTTCTTACTGTTGCCCCCGTGTTGGATGGCATCATACTCACAGTACGCTCACACACACAAAAACAGCGAAGACGCATGCCGTCAAATAATAATTCCGGAGATCAAATGTACTTTCAGCAACATGAAGTCGCAACCTGACGCTCCTATCGATCACCATTCCGGTGATAATTTCCAAAGATCCTGCGCCACAAACTGTCTGATTTACATTCATTCAAGGCTTCGTCCCACTTTTTCGGCTTCGACTCTCCCAAACCATCACCCATTTCCTTTCCTGCTCCATAGTGCACACTAGCCAAGGCGTGCCTCATCACTGAACTTTGCTAAAAAATTTCACCCGAACCCACAAGACGCCCATGGCAGCCACTCGATACAATATCGACAGCGAGACCAGGGCGATCAGGAAACCAGGGAAGTCGGAGTCCTTTATCTGTAAAAAATCAATGAGGAAAGAGCGTGCGGGCCCGTCTATGTGCCCCACTTGATTGAGCACCATGAGGGCAAAGCTGTAATTCATGACCGAGATGTCCTGGATCCATCTTAGGCTTGGAGGTACCGAGTTCCTTTCATAGAGCATCCCAGAGAAAAGGATCATGGGCGTAATGAAGAGGGGCAAGATTGATAGACCCACGACCGGGTTGGCCGAAAAAGACGATGCCAGGTAGCCAATCGATTGTGCCGCAAAATTGACGATGAAAAACAAGAGGCAATACCATCCAAAAGCCACGGCGCTCGGCGCGAGACCGACCATAAAGTAAGGCAGAATACCCATGATCATAAAGGCCAACGACGGGGGCTCACTGGCCAGCGTGCGACCGAGAAAGTATCCCAGGGGAGAGTTGACGCCCGCGTAGTACTCGCGCATGAGAATGGCGAAGTCGAAGGGGAAGTTCATGCACACGGCGATGGAGGAAGCGATCAGGAGGGTGACAAGGAGGGAGAAGAGGTAGCCGGCAGTGTTGCGGCCGTTGTCGTGGGGAATTTGTTGAAAGTAGAGGACGCCGAAGACGAGTCCGAGGGCCGTGTTCATGAGCACAGCCACCGCCAGCCCCACATACTCCCTCCGCTGAGAGAGCCACGACCGCCACAGATTCGTCCTAAAGGAGACGGCCCAGTTGGAGGCGCCCGGCCCCTGCACCCCCACCACCTCCTTGTGCCTGTTGTTCACCCCTAGGGGCGCCAGGTCGCGCGAAAGCGTCGATTTACATGCAGCCACCAATTTCCCGCTGGAGGTGGACTCCACCAGCAGAGAGCCACTTACGTTCCCTGGTGAGGCCAGTTCCTGCCCGCCCACCCCACCGGGTGCCCCCGCCTGCCCTGCGATCACTTTCGCCGATGCCAGCTCCAGAATAAAGTCTGCAGGGTTGAAATATGAAGGACACCTATAACCTAGACCTTCCAGGAAAAGAAGCAGCTTGTCGCGCGGGCCCCAGTAGGCGAGCTCGCCGTGGCTGGTCAGGAGGGTCACATGGGAGACAAGCGTGAAGACGCGGGAAGAGGGAGTGTGGATGGCTGCGAGAACTAGGCGCCGGGGGGCCTGGACCGCGATGGATTTTAGCAGGAGGCAGACCAGTTCTCCCATGACCGAGTCGAGCCCCGACGTGGGCTCGTCCAACAACAAAATCCGCGGATTTCCCAAGAGCTCCGTGGCGATGTTCAGGCGCTTCCGCTCCCCCCCCGATATGCCGGCGACTAGGTACAAATCTCCGCCCCCTATCTTCTGATCGCCCACTTTCGTCAGATCCACCTCCTCCATCACGGCCTCGACGCGTGCGATGCATTCCTCCAGGGATTTGTGCCGGCTTAGATGGTTCAGCGCGTGGAAGACCAGGTGCTCCCGCACGGTCAGGTGCGGAAAGAAGAGCTCCTTCTGGTGCACGTAGCCTGTGTGGGCGAAATAGGCCCCTGTCAATGCTTTACCGTTCAGGGTAAGACTGCCCTCGAAGTCTCGCGTCCGCAAGGCCAGACACTGTAGGAGGCTGGTCTTGCCGCACCCAGACGGTCCCATGACGGCGTTGAACGACCCGTTTTCCGCCCGGCCCGCGATGCTGCGGAGAACTGTGAGACTTTTTCGCTTCTTGAGCTTGATCTCATACTTTGAAATGTTCCACTCTAGCACCACTCGGGCGCATGTGCTAACGCTCTCTCTGTCGTCCACAATCAGCCTCCCGTTCTCGGTCTTCACGTCCTTCGGCTGGATAGGTAGAGGAAAGGCGATGTCCACAGTCACAAGAAGGAAAAGGATACCGGCAAGATTAAGCATCAAGCAGACCCCAAAGCAGCAAGGCACATGCAAAGGGTGCAATACACGGGTTGTTCAGAATTTTCCTACCGGCTGGAAATACTACCTTCCCTCCTATCATTACCCTTTATTTCTCTCCTTCCCGTCTTGAATCCCTCACCTTGACAGAGGCCGAGGAAGCCAGATTTTGAGACAGTCCTGCGCTATGCAGGGTGGACGTGGTTGTTTCCTCGTCACCAGTCTCCAGGTCTGTGTCTGTGACAATATTGGCCTCCAGCTTTCCGAGATCGATGGAATCGACCATGGAGACGAAAGTCTCAAGCGAAAAGGGCACTCACAAATCACGAAAGGCCAGCCAAGCGTAGTATGATCCCCTTTGTGACTCTGGCCCTGCTTTGTACAACATGAAGGTCAATTCAATCCAGAAACATGCTCAACGAGTCGTCAAGGCACAACGATCTGCGGACACCATCATCACAACCTATCTCCCGATCGACTCGAGCCAGCAGAGACCTCCACCAGTGTTTGGTGTGCACTTTACCACGCACACCAAACGAAAGAGCTGGGACAACAATGCACACCATCTCTGTACTGTCAGCACATGCTTGTCTTGTAGGCAGAGCTCCTCGATCATGTTCATGTGAAACTTTCGCCGGCCATCGCGTTTGGTCTGCGGAGACCGACGTGTGAGACGTGACTGAGAAATTGAGCTCCTCTCGTCGTGTGCGGCTCGTCTTGTTAAAAAAAAAAGGGTAAAACCGTCTCTTGCACCCTATAGACATGACAATGGGCTGGCAAGATTTGCCTTAAACGAAGCAAATTGTTAGGCCACAGAAGCCGTGGAGAAAGCATTAATTTTCTCGATCTTATTTCGGTTTCTTTTCGTGTTATCCTTGCCTCTGCCTTCCATGACGGGCGCTACGAAGGCTTAAGCGTAGCCGCTTGACAGGACACAGGTGCGAAGAATTGTCGATTGTAGATATTGAATCTTTGATCGACTCCTTTCATCCCGGCTTTCAGAAACAAGGAATAGGTCGCGGAATTTCAATAATGATAATGACACATACGTCTTTTGGTGCGGACGATTTCTGAAAACCTGTCTTTATCTTGGGAGCATGCCTGTTTTTCTCACATTGGATGACAGTTGGACTTGCCATCGTTTCCACCCAGTTTAATAGCGGTGCTTTGGTTCAATGTCAACCGTCTACCACTCCTTGCGCCGGGGCTTCCCGATGGCGTAATGCTCGAAGCCAATCTGGCCTAGCTTGGCCTGATCCAAGATGTTACGCCCGTCAAAGATGAAAGCCGGCTTCGCCATTGAGTCGTAGATGCGCTGATAATCATAGTTCTTGAACTCGTCCCACTCGGTTAGGATGGCTATGGCATGGGCCCCCTTTGCCGCCTCGTACGGGCATTCGGCGGTGATCACGAGCTCGTTCAGACCTGGCACGGTCTTCTCCGTCGTCCCTGTGCTGTACTCAAACTCCAGCATCATCTGCTCCCGCGTCACCTTAGGATCGAAGACGTGGAGCCGTGCGCGCTCCTCCAGGAGATTCCTGCAAACAAAGACTGAAGCCGTCTCCCGAGTGTCCCCCGTGTCCTTCTTGAAGGCGAATCCAAAAATGGCGATCCTCTTGCCCGTCACGGTGTTGAACATGCGACTTACGATCAGGGACGAGAAGCGGGACTTCTGGTAGTCGTTCATCTTGATGACCTGGAAGGACGGGCGCGGTCAGGAATGAGCGGGCGTTCCCTGTGAGCATAAGCACACCCCACCCCCACACCCCGAATTGTGCGCTTCCGCTGCTCCGTTTAGCCTACCTGATTCCAATACTCTGCCACCTCCTCCAGCCCGAAACTCTCACACAAGTAGACCAGATTCAAGATGTCTTTCTGGAAGCAGGAGCCCCCAAAGCCGACTGAGGCCTGGAGAAATTTGGACCCAATCCGGTGGTCGGAGCCGATGGCCCGCGCCACCTCCGAGACATCCGCGTCCGTGGCCTCGCACAAGGCGGAGATGGAGTTGATGGAGGAGACGCGCTGGGCCAAGAAGGCGTTGGCCACTAGCTTGGAAAGCTCCGAGGACCAGAGGTTCGTGGTCAGGATCCGCTCCCGGGGGACCCAGTGAGCGTACACCTTCACCAGCTTCTCGATGGCGGCCAGCCCGTCCGGTGTCTGCTCCCCCCCGATCAAGACCCGCCCGGGGTCCATCAAGTCATCGATGGCGGTTCCCTCCGCCAGGAACTCCGGGTTGGAGAGGACCTGGAACTTGATGCCCTTGTCGTTGGTGGCCAGGACGCGGCGGACGGCGTCCGCGGTCCGGACGGGCACTGTCGATTTCTCTACCACAATCTTGGAAGAGGTCGAGACCTCGGCGATCTTCCGGGCGCACAGCTCGCAGTTTTTTACGTTTGCGGCGCGTCCGGCTCCGATACCCTAGGGTTGGATGTAAGACACGGGAATGAAATCAGTTGAAGCACGTGGTATACAACACGTTGTCGCCGTCATAGGTGGACATTGAGTTCAGTGTTTGTCCTAAAACGTTTGGCAGGGAATCCTCACGATCATGTCGTCCCAGGGCTTTCTCGAAGATGGCACGCACCGTGAGTTTAGTTGGAGTGTTAACCGAGACAAAAATCAAGTCCGCGGCAGCAACCTCTGCGTCGATGTCGACGGAGAAGAAGAGGTTCTTGCCCCTCGTCTCCTCGACCACCTCCTGCAGGCCCGGCTCGTAGATGGGGAGGTCCTTCGAATTCCACGCGTCAATTTGGGAAGTGGAAATGTCCACCACAGCCACGCGGATACGCGGACATTTTTTAGCGATGACGGCCATCGTTGGTCCACCCACATAGCCTACCATTGGATGTCAATCAAAACGTAAGGAGATGGATTGTATTTTGAAAAGAATACGGTGGTAGCAAAGCCCATGTAAGCATGCATTTACGACAGGAACCTCAGCACTTACCGGCTCCCATACAAACAATACGAAGTTCCCAATCTCCCATGCTATCTGAATGTAAAATCTACCCGCTTGTCTGTCCATTTTTTGTGTGAAGGCGTGGATGAGTTTGTTGAATCGTGTTGTTGCGTTTGCTGAGTTCAAAGACAGTGTGCAGCGACAAATGGACAGATGATTCATACAACATCAGGGCCATGAACGAAGGATCATCATGAAACATTTGAATTACAGGAGCAATGATATAAAGCTGTCTGTTTTCGTGTCGGAAACGTGTTGATGCATTTCGCGTCAACACGCCATGGGCGGGGTCAGAAGGAAGACCAGAAGTGTGGATCTCTCTCCATCCAGCATGAGGCTAGTGCTTGGGGCTTGCCGTCGAGAGCGGGGCGGTAGGTTTCTCAGGGATGCGCTCAATTTACCACTACACTCGTCACGCCTCCCGCGCTAAAATGCACGTCACGAACGGGGCAATAGAGGCCCGAGAGCCCTCCACGTTTTCGGAAGACGTACGCTGTTGAGGTGGCGGGCGACTGCCAGCCTCCGGGCCGGGCGTTTCGAGCCGTTTCGTTCCCTGCCTTTCGAGCCGCCCGTCCGCAGTCTGAGCGCGGCCTGCGAGCTACCAGGGGCCAATTATATCCCCCGTGGGCTACAAGGTTGTGAGCTGTTGACTCTTATGTATATCTTAGGATGAGTTGGTAAGTGGATGCTCATGCCGTCACCTGTCCTTCGCTTCGATCTGAACAGGCTTTCTGAAGGGGGAAACGTGTCTTGATCGCGTTCTTCGATGGAGAGAGCAAGGAGGGGTGGCGGCCAAGGGGGCTTTGGCGTTGCTAGCATGCGCATGACCACAGTGTCACGTATGACCATATTCTTTGGTGTAGTGTTGTTGGTGGAACTGGTTACGCTGGTTTGTATCAAACACTCGACACTCCCCCGGGATCCTGCGCCGGATACAGGGCACATGTTCGCACACGCGCCTGAATCACAGAAAGAAGGTTTTTCACGCTCACAGGAAGAGAGACGTGAGACCATGGCGATAAACGAAACACTCCCCTACGAACCTCCACGGTTACCTAGTCCCTTGACCGTTGCATGTCTTTCCTCCCAGCGCACGGTGTCCACCACGGCCTTCAATCTGGTTCGTATCCTCATGGAACGTGTGGATGCAAATTCTATAAGTGGTTGGGAACACGACGTAGTCGGCTCTCGGCCTAACGAACGCCTGGAAGATATCCTTCCGAAGGTGCATGGAAAAGTAAGCACGGTCTACAAGTCCCATGCGGGCGGAGCCGAGCATCACCAGCACGCCGACTTCGTAGTGGTCACCTACCGAGACCCGTACGAGATAATGTGCAGCATGGGGCGCATGTTCCAGCCCAAAATTTTCAGGAGCGAGCACAAAGCCGTGGAGAAATGTCGTAAGATGGCAAGAAACGAGGCCGGGATCAAGGACTGGGCGGGCAGGGAGGGAACACGGTCCCTGCACATCAACTCCGACGTCTTGAAAAGCGCGGAGGGGATGACGGAGGTAGTGAGGCTGCTAATGGAAAAGTGGGGTGT